ATTTTAATTTAAGTGTCTACCGATGAATTCTGCTTTGAATTTAAATATATGCATGGATGAACTACCTAATTAATCAATTTATTCAAAGGTCATAAAATGTGACATTTGAATCCTGAACATGCCCTTACAACTCATAAATCCCTTATTTTTGGTTCATCCATGCATATATTTAAATTCAAGGGAGAATTCATCAGTAGACACTTAAAATTAGTTCGATTTTTTGTTTAGATACTTTATGTAAGTTGTGTTTAAGGTGTTGTGAAAAGCGTCAAATAAAGGCCTACTTCAGGTGTTTAACATCTACAAAACTTATTTAAGATGAATAAATTAAAAGTCATGTTAACTTTAAGCATTGATCTGATGAATTTTGACTAAATTTAATTTCCTTAGTTTTTTTCTGTTATGTGAGGCTCATATCTATTTATTATAGATATACGTCTATTTACTAAAAACTTGACTATTTGTATTCTTTTGGAGCCAAAAATTATTATGTGTGGAGAAAATTTTATGTCTCTTTTCCTTTTTGTGTATTTAGGCTCTAAGTTGATTCCTATAAATTGAGAGGAGTTCTTGCATTTCTAGACACACCAAAAAAATAATATGTTGTTAAAATAAACATGGAGAAATTTATTCATCATATGGTTAATAGCGAGTCGATTGTTACATATCTTCTTGTCAGCAGTAGTTTTCATTTCTCAATATATTTAATATATATATATATATATAATGAATATATTTGTTGAAAATTAACTGTTGCTGACTCGAATATATGAAGCAATTCTGGCCCGTAAAATGGAACCTTATTGCATTTTAGTGTTTTGCCTATTCGTACGTTTAATTTTGACAAATGAAGTTTGTTTAAGTGTTTGAACATATTCGTTTTTGATCGATAGATTAAGAGTTCGAATCACGTTATAAGGCAAGTGAAAATAGTACTGATCCCTAGTAAAAAAATGAAGTAAGAAAAAAAAGGATTAGGTTTAATTAATTTGTTTTGTTGGGTGTATTTTTATTTTTTTTCCTTAACTAACGGAGATATTAATAACTGATATTTACTTTTTAATTTGTGGAAGTTGAAAAATTACTATTGAGACAATGAATTATTATCATTAATGATTTTTAATTAACTTGTACTGACAATTTCAAATATTTTTTCGCTAAAAAATCATCTTTCTGGTATTTCCATGTTATTAATCTTTTTGTCTTTAATAAAATATATCTTTGGATTTTAATTTTTGTTCGAAGATTTGTCTATTAATATATTTTTATTTTTTTTCAGACATTAGATATAGAAATTGGTTCTCACTAATCACCAATCGAATCAAGAAGATCTTCAGATGGAAGTAACAATTATGATAAAGTAAACACCGATTAAAAATTATTTTTAGGATTTATTAATATTAAATGATACTTTAAATTTTGTATTTCGATGATGTAATTTTAGAATATTTTTATTTTATATAATAAATATTTTGCTTATTTAAATTTTGATGTTGTGTTAGCACTATTTGTCTTGTAAGAGTGTAGAATGTATAGAGTGCAATAAACAAGATATAACTGTGGAATGATAAAATTGAAAATTTTAATTATTACAACAAACTTTTAAACAACTATTTTAAACCATCGTATATAAAAGTAACTTTTTTTTACAATTACAATGGTGTAAAATTGTGATCACTCTATATAAAAATCTCATTAATCAAGGAATATTGCAACGGTAATATAATAATACATTGTTTTTGAAAAATCATCGTAATATATTCATGTGTGGCAAATGGAATTGTGGTATTTTCGCAAAATATCGTTATGGTGTGTTTTGAAGAGCATCATAATTGGTAAATTGTAGATTATTTTTTAAAAAAAAAAAAAGTTGTGATTTTTATAACCAAAATTGGTAAATTTCTAATTTTAAAAGAAAGAAAATAAAAATAGTATTCTTTAAAAAGTAATATTTTTATTAGGAACATGAAGTGTTTAAGAATATATATTTTTTATTATTATTGTTATTTTATTCGGAAAAGATCCATTTAGTAACAATAAAGACAATTCGAGACCAAATTATTAATAACAGAAGTATTTATGAATCAAAGTATTGACAGCAAGGAAATTATTGAACCAAAATGTAAATAAAGGATATTTTATTTATCAGACATAGCTTTAAAATATTTTTGACCCTTTTCCATAAATAAAAAGACACACCACTAGTAACTAGAAAAAGAAAAAAAAAACTAAAGCATCCTAATTGGTAAATTGTAGATTTTTAATTTTTAATTTTATTTTTTTTAGAGATTCTTATGACCAAAACTGATATGTACAATAGCAAAAATGGTAGAAAAATTATTATGGTCAAATTGATGGTTGGTTTATATTTCCATAATTTATCATTTGAATTGATTGATTAGGTAAAGTCTTAAATATTAGGATTTAGTACATAAGTTCAAATAAGGAAATAAATTGATAACTAAAATTTTATTATATTTCAAAATTCTAAAGATTTAAAATAATAATTAAATAATTATTTTACCTAATATGAAATTGATTTTTAAAGGGTAAAAAAGGCAAAAAAAAATATCATTTTTCCTTTAAATACATGAAGTTGAGTTGATTCCTGAACCCCACTAGATTATCCCAAGTTCTATTGGCATAAAGCTTGCCAATAGACTTGATGAACTCCAACATCAAGGTTCTAAAATCAATTTCTAAGACACTCAACTAATGATTAATTGATTTTAGAATCGTGATGTTAATTCATCTTCTTAACATATACCCCTCTTTAGATTCAATTAGACAATGATAGTGTTTCGAACCAACTCATGTGGATAAAAGGAATAAAGAAGTTGAAGTTATTGAAAGTGTTGTGAGATAATCTAGTGTTGTTCAGGAACCATCTCAGCTTCATGTGTGTAAGGAACCATTTATTCTTTGTTTTTTTATTCTTCAAAAAAAAAAATACACCATATAAAATGGTTATTTAATTATTTTTTAAATATTTAAAACTTTTAAATCAATTAAGATTTTAGTTATTATTATTTTTTTATTTGAACTATGTACATAAGTCGAATTTTGAAATCAATTCAAATCTTATCTAAACAATCAATTAAGATGCGTTGATTGTTTATTTAGGTAAAATCTTGTTTGATTTAAATTTCAAAATATTAGGACTAGATATTGTACATAGTTCAAATAAGAAAAAATTAATAATTAGAATTTAATTGCTTTCAAAATCATAAATATTTGAAAAATAATTAAATATCTATTTTATGTAATGTGAAATTTATTTTTAAGGAGTAACAAAAACAGAAAAAATGATTATCTTTTAAATACATGAAGCTGATCTGGTGCCTAAACACCACTAGGTTCTATTGGCATAAAATTTACCCATATATCTTTGTTTCTGGTATAGAAGTTCCTACACAACTGTCATTGTTCACACATCACATGTGGATTGGTGGATTTTTCATAGTTGGTGCGGCAATGAACTATAATCATGGTTCAAAATCCAGCCTCAAGTAGCGATATTTTTTTTTCCTTATGTATCGAACATAAGAAAATAAATTTTAAAAAGTCCATTATTTTCTAGAAAAAATATTATTATGTATGTATGAGGGTGAATGATAAGATGTGATGGAAGATGGAAATGACATAATAAATGAAAATTTTCACTTACAGAATTTCAATCTTTGAACATGATCATGATACGTATATCAATGAACTTTTGATTCAGATTAATAAAATATTAAGTATGTTGAGTCATATATCACATTTCAAACTTTTGGTTCAGGTTAATTTAGTACCCATTTGATCATAGATTTTTCAAATAAAATTGGGGGGAAAAATTGACAAATAGTGTTTGTCCATACAATTTGTCATTACTTGGCAAGTATCAAATAACCCAAATTCCCAAATACTAGAAAAAACTAGTATTTAGGTCATATCTTATTATTTGGGAGCTTTTAAATATTCAAATTCTACATCAAATTTTTATCTTTTACAAAAACATCCTCTATAGTAGTTGTTTGCGTTGTATTACATTTACGTGAACACCAAAACAGTGATGGAGTATTTAGTGAATATGAAAGTGATGATATGGTTGTTGATGAAAGAAAATGACGAACAATCAGCTTTGGGTAATAAAGTCATGTGCTTTGTCTAATTCACGATGTACGGAATGATGTTTGTTGCACTCACTCCGAACTACCACAATGTCATGGACATTACTTATTATTTGTTGCAACAAAGATCTAATTGACTTGTTGCGGAAGTCATGAATCTTATTACGTCGATATTTCTATCTGCTATGTAATACAAAATGTATTACAACGGTTAGTTTTGATATTTTTGATATGTTTCCCAAATATAATGGTGAAATTTCACCGAAAAATTCACCCAAATAATATTTGGTGGCCAAACACCAGCTTAGTATGTGTTACAAATTGGGTGGAGGGTCCACTCGCCTTTAGGATTTTGGGTCGTGACAAAAGACATGTCCATTTTTCATCAATATATTCAACAATTGTACAAAAACACCTGTCCATTTGAAGCATATTCAGTTAGAAAGCAAAATAACAAATACCATACTACCATAATTTCATACATAATCCCTAAAATTTCTTATAAATTTCACAGAACCTTATAATATGATCATGAAATGCTACAATTTCATTGATTCACCCAGGATTATTTCCATAAGTCTAATTGGTTCGCTACTTGCAATAGTCTAGTTGAAGGGAGTTTTTCTTGAACAGATGACTGAGTATCCATTTGAAGAGCACACATTTACCTGCAACCAACATGCATAATCCATCTGCACGTTAAACAACTCGAAAAGCCCCCAGAAAAAGATATTTTAGGTTTAGATCCAAGTGATATTTTAACACATTACTGAGAAACCTACATCAACATAATGTTGATTCACTACAAGAAAATGTTTGCATCTGAAAAGAGTACATTTGAGGGAATCCGATGACTAGCAGTTGGCATCGGTAGTATTGAATATCTTACCAGAATAAGTACAGAGCATCATACAGCAGGGAAGCAGTTATCTTTCGGAATATTTTCAGGTTGAAGTTGTTACTGCAGTCATTTGTTGCATAAGTATTTCTTCAACTCTATCTGTAAAGCCTGAGATAGTCTGTCGTGCATTTGTATCCAACGAGTTTGCCACTTCCTGTAAGGATGAAATGAATAAAAGATCCAACGAGACTGAGACTCTGAGAGGCAATAGGCCAACCTTCCCTTTTTTCCACAAGAATAACCGAACTTTTTTTCCTACTAATTGGAAACACTTTTAGGAGGCGATTTGAATCCTAATAACAGAAATTTTGAAATTTGGTGGGCTTACTAGGTCCCAATCAGCACGATGTATCATTAGCACTGTACAATTACGTTAACTAAAATGACCTTCCATTGTAGTGATGTTTTGCATTTCTCTTTGACCGTTATAGATCATGCAAGTTCAAGTCAGATTACCATTCACAATGTAAATATCACATCTATATTTGGTTAATAAATCCAATCCCAATAGGACTTCAACACAAAGTCACAAACTGTCCAGCACTGGTATGAAATGGCTATAATCTATAACAACGCTATGAATAAACAACTTACCGCAACCTTGCAAAGGAGGGTCAAAGATATCTGTTGTGAGTACTGACTTGAACTCTTGAGAGATACCAGGGTTAAACCAGAACTGGTTAAAGGCCAACCTTGAGGTAGCTTTATGAAAGCATCGATTCCACCAACCATATGAGCTACTATTGTCTCGTCTCTATCCACGTAATCAAATGAATGCCTGTTTGGTTTGAGTAGATATAAGTACATAATTCAAAAATAGTTCAAATAAATGCAACATCAGAGGCCAAGAGAAAAAACACTTGAGCCACTTCGTACGTATAAATTTGGTCCTCTTTCTCCACCTTCTGCATAATTTTCTGGTCCCTTCTATAGTCAGGACTAGGATTTTACATACTCAGTCCACTCTTATTCAATTTACGAAGCTTCTCCTTCTTTCACCGAATTCAAACAGTTTAGCGCATCTTCTTCGACCCATTAATTTCAAAGGATTTCTCACTGATAGGAGGAATGACTTCCTCAACATAATATCAACTCCAGTAACTGTAGAATAGGATTATATTACTCGGTAATCTAATCTATTAGTCAATTAAGATTGTGATCAATGTAAATATAGACTTTGATCACCTTTCTCCAACTACTACTTCAGATTCCATTACATAGTTAAGTCACATTAATAACTCCAATTTGAACTCTTATACTGTTTCGTATTTATCCCAATAGCCCACTTAATAAACCAGTTATTCAACACAATATTTCAGCACTGCTCCAATGCCATAAACCCCTCAACAAGATGCTCGCAGTAAAAATCCATCCCTTGCTTCTTCAGAGATTCCTCGCATACCAGCGTAACTAACTTTATCACTCTTTTTTAAAGTAGAGCAGAATTTTCTAACTTGTCTTGAGATTTATTTATATTACTCTTTTATAAGGTATTAAGATTTATTTATGTGACTTAGTCGGATTAAATAAATGGAGTTACTTTAGTGTGTGATTATCAAGTTGCAACATGTGGAGCTCATCTTGATACTTGTAATTCTTAATTTTGTCCTCTGGGAGAGAAAAATAATTAGCTCTCCTTTTGTAGCTTACAGGCAATGCATCCTAAGGTACAAATAAAATGTCCATTGGTTTTTCTTTCTAAAATTTAAATGTAACTAACATGAATAAAGCATCAGAAATTGATAAATGAAGTGCTAAAACCATTATTGACACAATAAGAAAAAAAATGTACAACACCTCTACAAAATGATCTTGACTCAAATTGCATGCATAAAGTACAAAATAAGAACTAACCTTGAACTATTTGCACTCTTCACTAGAAAGCGCCTTAACGTGCTAAGAACAATTCGATCTTGCACCCTTTTAACGAACCACTCCAAAGAAGATCTATTTTCAAGAACTCCCACAGGGAAATAGACCTGTCTGTAATCAGTGGCACTATGTGAATTTTCATGTTGGAAATTACTTCCAAAATAGGAAATTAAATACCACTTACGTCTTACGCTGCAAAATCAACTAAAACTTCACATCAAATTTGACTTTATTAAATAATAAAGGATAATGATTTATGCTCAGGCATCAAACAAATAGATTTACACAAGACAAAACTTAGTGAGATCAGTAGAGTGTACAAGAAAAATGAAAAGGAAACACACCTTAAGGATTTTGCAGTATCAGTTATATCGCTTATAGATACATCATTTGGGAAAATCTGAAGAGGATCACCAAAAAGTAGATTGAGGTATAATAGATCAGAAATGGCAGCATTATATCTTATTGACCAGTAAAAACTAAGGAAAGCAAGCAGTTAATTCAACAAAGGAAGAAAATCAAACAGCTTGCAGGTAAACCAATGATTCAGTCGGTTATAACTTATAAGCAACCAATATACTGGAAACACAGAACAGTAGATTTTTTTGTTTCTGCATGACTTGTTGTATTTCATCTAACACACTCTTTGTAAGCACAAAACCAATTTTCTTAGCCTAAGTTGTTTTGATAATTTAACACCAGGCATATTTAGGTACTTTGACTGTTTGCTACAGCGAATGTCTGTTGCCAATGTATCAAAATGTGGGTAAGTATTTTAATTTCTGGCAGATATAGAGAAGGATAATAAATCCACTTTAAGCCAATGTCCTGTCAGGAGAAAGTTAAGTCTATGTTAGATTTGTTTTATGTAGAAGGCTCGTATTTCATACAACGTTATGCCACATTCTCTTCCAAAACATCATCTCATCAGTGGAAAGAAAAATGAGTTATTCATTTATTTTTTGGGTTAATAGCTATGATAAGTTTGCGTTGCTACTTCATATTGGCTGGTAATATAAATTTATAATAGTCAAATATAACATATTTTCTAATTGAGGGGACCAAAGGTACACAATTTAATCAATTGAAGGTTAAGTATGTTGTGTCATATATCCTTTTTTTTTTTGATGACAAGGGAAACCCGCAACCGCTACCTTTTGGGTGCGCACAGGGTAAAACCCATGCTCCTATGCAATAGCTCGCAAACCACATAGAAGAGGTAACCCACACTAGGCAAGCCCAGTGCGACGAGCTCGACCCAGAAGGCAAACCCCTTGCTTTCGCTGGCAAGGGGTTTCGAACTTGAGACCTCCAACATGGAAGTCCCAAGCCCAAACCACTGGGCTTTATGTGTCATATATCACAAGGACCAATAACTTAGGGACCAAAAATGCAGTTATCCCTAATTTTTATGTCACAAACTGCTGAAAAAACATACCTCAACATGTTTTAGCTCCATGGTTCCATCCATCAGTTCGATTAACAACTCATGATTTTGCTCTGGTGGTTCAGCAACATCGATTGTTTGGTTGTGGAGCAAGTTTTCTAAGTTTGGGATAAAAGTTCTCAAAGATAATCTGATGCGGTTCCCTTCAAATTCTACTATCTTAAGACCAGAAAATGCATCTTCAATTTTTTCTATAGCCTCAAACCTGATTATATTGTAAAATTAAATGCACCGGAGTTAGACAAGAGAGAGTGCGGAGAACTATGCAAAGTTTACTTTCGAAAATACCTGTTGAAAGTACTCTCAAGTTCTTCCAAGGACTTCAAATTCAATTTGCTCTTTTCAAGCTGATTACCTAATTCAAAGATCTACATACAAAGGGGGCAAAACAATGATACATAAGTGTTAGAATAGGAATAGGTTTATACAATCCTATTAGAATAAGAATATGTTTATACAATTCTATTAGAATAGGAATAGGTTTATACAATCCTATTAGAATAGGAATAGTAATAGAAATAGAAATAGGAATACTAAATAGTATCCTACTTGGTAAAGGATTGTATTCTAGGGTCTATAAATAGGGTCTCAATGTAATAATGTACACAACAACAATTCAATAATATTCTTTTCCTATATTTCTCACATGGTATCAGAGCCTCTACAAACTTGGTAGAGAATTAAAGAGCTTCCGCTGCCGGCGGGTGGCACCCATATATGCTGCCCGTCTGGCCAATGATTATGTTAACAAAAGTTGGGTCACCGTGTATCTATCCGGGGACTATTTTCTTATATCTAATTTGTGTAGCACCGTGCTATCATTCCGGTGACTACTTTTTCATATTTAATTTTTGTAGCACCGTGCCATCATTCTGGTGTCTACTTTTTTGTGTAGCACTGTGTCATCATTCCAGTGACTACTTTTTCATATATAATTTGTGTAGCACCGTGACATCCTTCCGGTGACTACCTTTTTTGCATATCTTATTTGTGTAGCACCGTGCATCTTTTCGGACTACTTTTCATATTTAATTTGTGCAGTACCGTGGATTTTTTCGAACTATTTTCTCATATCTGAGTTGCATAGCATCATGTGTCTTTTCAGTGACTCCTCAGATTTGATTTGCATAGTTCCATTCGTCTTTCCGGTGACTCCTCAAATCTGATTTGCGTAGGGTTGTGCCATCATTCCAACCCTACCCGTTTCTTTTTCAGTAGGGTCGTGCCAACATTCTCACCCTACCCATATTATTTCTCTTTTTCAATGGGGTCGTTCCATAAATTCAAACTATCCTATATAATTTATATTTTCTAGTTGGGTTGTGACATCATTCCGACTCTACCCATATAATTTTATTTCTTAGATTGTGACCACTTTTAGCCATCAAATCTAATACTCCGGCATATGAGCATGTTCTGGCTAGTTTTTCGGTGACTTGTCTGATATCAACTCGTCTAGTGATTCCAACATGATCCATATACTTTACACTAGATTTTGAGCACTTACGACCGTTGCATTGTGAAGAAGTCTATATGGAGCAACCACCTAATTTTGTTGCTCAGGGGGAGTTTAGTAGCCTTGTATGTTGATTACGTAAGTCACTCTATGGTCTGAAACAGTCTTTGCAAGTTTGGTTTGGAAAGTTCCAACACTGTAATTTTATCACTCTTCTGTGTTTTATCGGCATTATGCATCAAATTCAGTATTTCATGAGAAGACCAAGCACATTGAGATTGATTGTCAATTTTGTGAAGTCGAGTGATCAACTTGCAGATTTCACCAAGCCCCTCATCAGTCCTCGTGTTAATTACATTTGTAACAAGCTAGGTACATGAATTGTATGCACTAGCTTGAGGGGGAGTGTTAGAATAGGAATAGGTTTATACAATCCTATTAGAATAAGAATATGTTTATACAATTCTATTAGAATAGGAATAGGTTTATACAATCCTATTAGAATAGGAATAGTAATAGAAATAGAAATAGGAATACTAAATAGTATCCTACTTGGTAAAGGATTGTATTCTAGGGTCTATAAATAGGGTCTCAATGTAATAATGTACACAACAACAATTCAATAATATTCTTTTCCTATATTTCTCACAATAAGTAACCTTAATTTTCTTTTAAAGAAATAACAGAACAACATCCAAATATGCTTTGGCAGTTCGCCAGTAGACAGATTGTTATGCAATGTGATAATTGAGACTACGAATAGACTAAAAAATTGTTGTTGCATCAGCCACTGACAGCAAGATTTGCATTTAGATTATGATAATAAACTACTCTAAGTAGTCTTGCAATATTGAAAAGATGTAAGAACCTTAAAGTTATGTTCTACAGGTGCACTTGACAAGTTTCCTTTATCTTCTCCAGGTGTAGAACAAGGAAAATTTGTTAGTGCTCTTCCTTGTTCAAGTCCCTAAAATATAAGGTAAGATACAATAAGTATAACAATAACAAGCATTTGAACAAAGTTGGGAGTTCTAAGATTTAGAGGAATCATGATAAGATTGAAGCATTAGGCTTGGACACAGAAGAGGGAAAAAAATAGAAAAAGAACAAGAACTGTTCACCTAGCAAGAAATATTCAGCTGCTAATCAAAGTGTAATTTTTTTAAAGGTAATTTGATTGAATTTAACTGGTTCAGCAGTATAACAAAAGTATCCTTGCTAATATTTCCACTTGAAAAGATTCAATTACTGACAGCTTACCATTAGTTTTCAAATGAAAAGACCACACAGAAGAATTATGCAATGATTGCAACTGAGAGGAAGTGATAAATCATGAAGCTAATGGATTGTCCCTTCTAGGCCCCATAGAGTAGACACAAGTTTCAACTATGCATCTCATTAGCTGCTGATCAAATTTGGAGTTCTTGCCACAATATTCTTCACATAGAACTTGAAATTGTAAAGTTGATTCACTGGCAAACAAAAAGCAACAACAACCTTCCGTTTTTCCTCATTTTCTTAAGAAAATAAACACAAAGTTTTAACTCACATCCAGCCAAAACAAAGAGATACAAAATCAAGGGGCAAGAAAAGCTAAGAATTTAGAAGTTCCTTCTTCTTAATGTTTGTTCCACAGTCCATTCATCAAAATTATTCATGCTGAGAAAAATGCTCCAAAAAAATGACACATGGCATCTTCCACAACACCTCTCTATGTTTTCAGACTTCTCCTCATATTCATAAAATTTACTGGAGACAGGTGAGGAAGTAATTTATTCATTTCTAAGTATCACCAATCTTTTACACGTCTTCCCTATCAATGAAACTACCAAAAATTGTCGATGTGTCACCAAATAAGAACATGATGATCCCACTTCGTATACTCACGGAAGAAAAATAATGAAAAAACTTTACACTTGTGTGCTCCCAATACATGGATGATATGGTAAAGGTGCAACAGAGTTGACATCCATTACTGCTAAACAAGCTTGAAATATTGTAAAAAACATATGCACTAACACAAATAGTAACGAACTTCAGTATAGAATTGGATCACACAGGGGTTAGAAATTGTCACGTTTACATTCTTCCACCCACATGCAGTTTATTTGATATTTCACCTTAACACTTTAGGGTGAGCAGCCAGATACCATAAAACTATAGCATGTCCAATTTCTTAAGGAACCAACAAGTAAATGTGTGTCCTAAATCTGCAAGCAATCCCCCTCCACCCCACTGGCCCACACTGATCAACAAACTTAGTTTAGATTCAAGTAGAATCAGCAGATGAACAGAAACAAACCAGTGATTCAATGAGCTCCAAAGGACAACTAAGGCCTTCAATATCATTCACTAATTTGCTATAACCTACAGAAAAAAAGAAAAACATTTCAAAATCAGAAGTCGAGCACGTGTCGCAATCCCACATAAATCTGAATTTTCCAGAACCACCAGGAATCCTCAGCACCTTCAACATATTCCCTTGAAAGCCCCTCAATTTCATCTGCAATTTTTGCATTTTTAGCCTCTTCTGTGCTTAGCTCATTCTTCAAATAATTCCAAAATTCATCTGAAGTTACAAACACGAGAATTATAATGGCAGATAAAACTCCCTCCCCTTAAACATACGTGTGTGTGTGTTATACACATACACACACTTATAGAGGGAAAAAGAAGATATAAACAGCTTTTCTTCTACCTAAATCCTGATCAGACGAGAAGTTGACTTCTGAAGCATCACATAATATCTGTTCCACTTTGCTCTGAAAAATGATACCCAATGAACAAACAGGACTTTGATAGAAAAATATGGTGAACATCACAAGCTGTCAAAGAAAACATGAAATGATCTATTCACAAAGAAATAACCTCTCTTGTTCTCATCAATTTTTCTATTCCTTGTCCCTTATTGAGTCAATTTGATCCTTTTCAGAGCTAATGTGTTTGGTATTGGTAACATTGCATTCTATGATGAACTCATTTTTCATTGTTTGGTTATCTTAAAGTGAAAATGTTCTCTTCAATTAAAACAATTCCCATCTACAAGGGGGGTTATGGCTTCTTTAGCTAATGAAAGAACTCATTTTCCTTTCCTAATATCCCAGCTTTGACTCTATGTTACTTGTAACATTATTTTCAACCTTAACTACTCAAAATTATATCCAACCAACACTGGAAAACAGTCCAGAAACAAAGACCGCTTTCCTCCACACCAACCACACAACTGAAAATAGATAAGTCATTTTCCTTTTGGAAAAATAAATTTTGATCCTTTTTTTTTATATCCATGTTGTCTGCACCAGCTTTCACACACCTCAACTATCTCCACAAGATACCTACACCTCCTAACACAACAAGGTAACTATGTCCACCAAGGCTAGAACATATGGAAAAAACCACCTAGTGTGTTTTTGTCTCTGGAATTTGAACCTGAAACCTCGGTTCTCGACCCACTTCATTGACCACTAGGACTAGGTCACTAGGCCACACCCTTGGATGTGCAAAAATAAATTTTGATATTAAGAAACTACAGGTATTGTAATTTTTCCATATCCAAATGCTAAACGAGTGTGCTCAATTTAACTTAACTGAACCAAATTCTGGAGCTAAATAACACAAAACTACTCAAAAGTTTTCATCTTTTTAACTAAAATTATAAAAAAAAATGCAAAGTTCAAGTTTTTTTTACCTCAAATTGAAGTGTACAATCTTCCAGTGATTTCTTCAATTCTAAACCAAATGCTTCTGGTTCTTCAACACTTCTTTGAATATCTCTAAGCTCTTGAATCTCCCTATTATTACCATATTCCAAAGAAACAAACATTACAAAAAAAAACAATTTAATTTAGCTTGAAAGTGCAAAGAAAAAAGGGGACCTGCGAAGAGAATCAGCATCATTATGACTTGGATTTTCCATTTTTTGCTCGAATTTCGTAAAAAAAAATCCAGATTTTTTCTGTAATTCAAACTCCCGCCATTGTTATACGGGTTTGTGGTTGTGTTGATTAAAGAGGAAAGAGACGCTGGAGGTGGATCGGGTAAGTCAAGCCCATATAGGTTGGCCCATTTATATAAGCCCATTAAAGTCGGGCCAAAATTTAAAGTTTTTTCTCTTATAAATTTTAGGGAAAACTACATAAATCCCACTAGTTTAGGACCTAATTACTAGAATTCAAGATAGTTTCGATAATTACATCCTATACCATATTTTGTCAGTCAGATACATGTATCATTACTCGCGAGATACATGTATCCGACGGTTTGAATTAAAGAGATACATATTTTAATAATATTGAATAACCTATTTCCTTAAATAAATGAGTAATTTAGGCTTAATTAATAATTCTAACTGATTTGCAGATTCATTAACATATTAATTCTAACAAATCTTCCTAAAATAACGAAATCCTAAAACCACAAGAGTTCTCTAATTGAAAACTTCATCTTCTTGGCAACAGGTTTGAAAATTGTGGACTACCATGGGTGATGAGAGCAAGCTTGATCTTTTCTTAATCTCAAATGCTAGAAGAGACATTCTTGAATCTCAGAGTTAGGCTCAGTGCCTATGAAATTCGTTTTTGAATTTCTGTGATTGGAAGGAACAGGAGAGAAAAGCCTGGTGGACGAAGATGGGATCATTTTTTCATTTCTCCAGATTTATCTCGATGTGTATCTAAGCTTTTCACTTTCTTCTTTATTTTGTTTTTGTTTTAGCTTCTTTTTTTGTTGGTTAGTTTATTTCTTTTTGGATTCTTTTGCACTTATTTCAGATACATTAATTGTCCCATTTTATTTTTTTTCTCTGTAATATGAGCTTTGATTAGTATTAGATACAGTTTGTTTATATATGGAACGTTTTTTTTACCCGATGATACTGATAGATACATGATAGTAAACAACTATTTAATATTTCAAATACACTATATACCTTGTTAGATATGGTGTTGATTATCGTTTCTAAGTTTTATTTATAGTAAGATACATTTTGTTTATGTCAGATACACATTTATTTTTGTTGTTCATATACATGTGAAGGATAGTAGCTCTTATAATTGGTGTGAACTGTCAGATACATCGTTAATTCTCTAATTAGTTGATATGAATTTTAAGTTAGATACATTTTTATTCATTATTTTTTGCTAAGAAAATATATTTTTTGACAGTTTCAGATACACTATTTATCGTATTAGATACATGTATATTAAACACTGTAAAATACATATAACAACATGCTTAGATACATGAAACAATCAAATCAAATACGCAGCACTGCCATGTAAAGATATCTTGACTAAAACATATTAAATATATGAAATAAAAACTAAGATACATAAAATGAATTATATGACCAAATACATTGCAACTAAAATAATACATTGGGGGCGTGGGGTGGGGTGGGGGTGGGGAATTGGGGATAGACGATTTATGGAGAAAGTTGAGGGAAGGGCTTGATGAGAGAGAAAGGTATTTGAACTATTAATTTTGATTTTTGAATGTAAAGATAATTCTAATTTTAAGGGTTTTAGTGTATCTAATTATATCTTTTAAAATATATGGTATAAAATATTATAAGTGGCAATATATGTAATTGTTTTAAAATAGAGATAATATTAGTATATATGGTATGGATAAATGTCTAATTAGGTAGTTTTCCCTAAATTTTAATATTTTTGTCTTGCTTGGCATAAATTATGTGTGAATTAAGTTATGCAACATAAGTTGTAGGCGGATAACGGATTATTGATCTGCTCAGAACTTATTTGGATTGAAATGGATTAAACTGTGAATCATAACCTAACCTTACCAGTTCATACTAAGTTTTAGTTACTTTATTTTATTTTGTTTTTTTATAATTTTGTTAGTATCTAATAAGACTATTTTTTGTTTATTTTATTATGACAATATAAAACATATCTATTTAAAATGGAGAAAAAAAATGGCAAAATTTCTCACTAGTCATTTGAGCTATATAGTAGTCTATATTTTATGGAGTGAGCTAATAAATAAGCGAGTCAATAATCCGCTCGAATTTGAATAAATTGAACTGAGTTATATTTATATGAGCTAATTTATAAAATCAGCACTAACGTAAGATTTCTGTCATTTATCGAACTCAATGTATTTCGTAGCAAGATTCTCTTCTTTTTTCTTTTTTTTTTAGATTTTCTAAAAATTAAAAGAAAAAAAACAATATTGCAAAGAGCCAAAGAGGTCATAAAATTAACAGAAATCAAGTTTTTAGGCTTTTGGGGCTAATTTATGAATAACAAAACTCATGCAGATTGGACCTTGATGATTTTGGCAAGGGTATAAAACTCGTGATTAGAAAAACAACCTCCCTTTTGCTAGAAGAAATCAATAGAATTTTGTGGACATATGAGTCATCCGATCTAAGTGTATTGGTTGTTTGCTCATGAGATAAGCGGGGATTAAAAATTTAAGATCATTCATTTTAATATTATTGAGTGCTCGTAAGGGAGTTATCTGACATCAAAAAATTACACTATATATGTGTATTATGTCTGAATATTTATTGAATAACCTCTTATATTCTAGTAATTAGTCTTTATATATAAATAGCTTGGTACATTAAAGCTCCCGCTCAAGTCTCTATATAGTCATTCAAAATCACTTCTTCATAGCAAATTGAATAACCTCTTAAATTCTAGCAAGTCTCAAACTCTCTCTATATATAAGGCAGTCTGGTGCACTAAAGCTTCTGCTCAATCTCTTATATTCTAGCAAGTCTTGAACTCTCTCTATAATAAGGCAGTTTGATGTACTAAAGCTTCTATTCGAGTCTTTATATATAGTCTTTCAAAATCACTTCCACATAGCAAAAAATCTAAACAAAAAATGTCTTCTCTAAGAAACATTTCTATTTTTTCCATCCTTTTCTTGCCTTTTTTCTTGCTTTTGGCTTCACAAACCAAAGCAAAATTTAACTCAAATCTTATTGAAAAAGCATGCACAACTTATAAACCAACTTGGGACTTTAATTTTTGCATAAAACTCTTAAATTCTGATCCAAAAATCTCATCAACACAAACTCCATTTGATTTAGCCATAGCCATTATTAAAGCAGGAAATTCCCATGCATCAAAAACTCAAGACTACATAAATAAAAAGCATAGTCATGAAGGAGGCACAAGCCCTGTTGTTTCTTCAGCATTGAGTGTGTGTAGCAAATGGTATGTTTGATTCTTTTTCATATGTATGTCAAACACGTTCGGATATTTTTCGTTCATATAAGATTCCGTGGCGGAGCTAGTAACACCGCTAACACGTATGTTATTTATTTTCTTTAGTAACACATAGTTTTAGTCAAAGCTACTGAATTCTGGTGAAACTCTAGCTTCACCCATGGTGAGATCTCAGCCCACATATAACTTCTTGCATAAATATGTTTATTTGTATGACAATCCCAAGCACCCCCTTACATGTTTTTTTTTCTTTCATAGGCAAAAGATCAAACTTGTGAAAATATTAATGTTTGTTATTTTGGTGGCGGTGAGATTTGAACGTGAAGCATTACTTTCTCTAATATTAGGATTTTGAACTATGTGGTGGTCTCATTTTTAGTAGGACCAAAAGCACTTTTGATTTAATTGATCCGATGTCGAAGCACATCAAATATTAATTTAATTGAATTGTGCACTTTTGATCCCTTTGCTTGCTAATATATTCACAAATTACCACAATTATTAATCATCTCACCACGTAATTGCTCATATGTGATATGTTATGTTAAGTTTGTATTGTTACTCCATATTTAACAATAATACAGTTTTATAGATAGTCAGCTCATGTAACATATTTTCTACGTTAAGGGACCAAAAACACACATTTCAGGTTAATATAAGGTGAAATATGCTGATGCATATATCAGAAGGATCAAAAAAAGAAATTATCAATAATTTAAGACGAAAAGTGGTATTATTAATTTCTAATAGCATAAGCTTTTTTAAATGAAATCTGAATAGACATAAGATTAAACTTTTAGATGAGACCATTTTATAACACATAATTTATTTATTTTTACTTTTAAAATGGCTATGAGATTTGAACTCAAGATCCTCTTACTTACCTATTATCATGTTGAGTTGTCTGACCATCTCAAGTTTAGAAATAACATACTTTAACTGATTAATTATACTATGTCTCAACAACAGGTATGGCGGTGTTGTTGGAGCATTTGTGACTGCTTTAGATGATGTTCAAGAGAAGAAATTTCAATCAGCTAGTGATCATGTTAAATCAGCTAATGATTTTGCCATGAATTGTGAAGAGGCATTTGCTTCAAGAAATGTTCAAGATGATGAAATTTCAAAGGGTGATAATTTTGTTATGTATTTCAGTTTATCTGTTGGAGTGATTATTAATGTTCTTGGAGAAACAATTAATTATACCACATTTTGATCTTTTGGTTTGTTCTACTTTAGTATTTATATGGCAATAAACAATCTATCTTAGCTCATTTAAGTGAAGCAATCAAGATCTATATGTTTCAAAACTAGTTTGATTTGATTTTGTTGTTCTATATTGTGTTGATCACGCTTCAATAATTTTAGCGACAATATTTTAATTCCCAAAGTTCATAGTTACTACTCTCATAACTCAAATCATTTCAAATGAAGCTCAAACAATGACCAATATATCATCAAATTAAATTTTCGCTTCTCCCGCAACCCTATCTCTTCAAGTTTTAATTTCTAAATCATTATTTGCATCAACGGTGTGAGTCTTTTGTTGAAATGTCATTTCATTTTATCTTTTTATTTATCGTGAATGGGGAAATCATTACACATAGTATGCCCAATCGGCGTGGTGGACAAAATGGGTAATAATTGTGGTTTAAGCTAACTTATGATGGAAGTAAAATGATAGAGATAAAAGGTGTGAGTAGAAATCGTTTGAGTATAATAAATTTTGTGTTAGAGTTCTTTTCACTTTTTTCTCACGATACTTCTACGCTACGGATCATTAAAAAAATTTGTCCACTTTTTTCCAAATGTC